ATAATATATATATATATATGTATATGTATATGTATATGCAGACGAAGGCATTTACTGCTAGCAACAACAACAGCAGCAACAGCAACAACAACAACAACAACAACAGCAACAGCAACAGCAACAGCAACAGCAGCAGCAGCAGCAGCAGCACGAGCCGATTAGAGGAGATAGAGTTTGTATCTATTCCTTTAACACATTTACCTTTGTTACATGTATATACAAATATGCTTCTCTTTGGTAACGGTACACATTTTATACATGGTACGCTCCTCCTCCTGCTGCTCCTGCTGCTGCTGCTGCTGCTGCTGTTGCTGCTGCTGCTGTTGCTGCTGTTACTGCTGCTGCAGAGGATGGAGGTACAGATTTACGGAGCCCAGGGGATGCATTTTCTTTATTAAATGACAGCAGCAACCGCAGCGGTAGTTGGCGTGTTGCTAGTGTACAGAAGTTGCTGCTGCTGAGTTGCTGCTGCTGCTTCTGCTGCTGCTGCTGCACTGTTGCTGTTCTTGTATCTAAGAATATTCTTGTTCGTGCATGCCAAGCAGCAAATGGTTGTTATGCTCTCCTCTCTCGTAGGCCTAAGGCTGCTGCATTCTGCTGTACGTACAACACCTCCTGCTGCTGCTGCTGCTGCTGCTGTTGTTGCTGTTGTTGCTGCTGCTTGTGCTGCTGCTGTTGTTGTTCATGTTGCTGCTGCTCATGCTGCTGCTGTTGGTGTTGTTGTTGTTGTTGTTGTTTTGCCAGCACATACACTAGGAAGAAATAGCAGCAGCAGCAGCAGCAGCAGTAATAGCAGCAATAGTTAGATCTATTTATATAGCAGCAGAGAAGAGAAGGATATTTTGCTGCTGCTGCTGCTGCTGCTGGATCTACTACTACCAATACTACTATTAATCGTCTTCCTCTTGCTGCTTGTGCTGCTTGTGCTGCATATGCTTCTTCTGCTGCTGCTCTTGCTCCTCCTCCTGCTCCTCCTCCTGCTCCTCCTCCTCCCTCTCTCCCCCTCCTGCTGCTGCTGCTGCTGCTGCTGCTGCTGCTGCTGCTGCTGCTGCTGCTGCAGTAATGGTATTATTATTTCATAGTATAGATATAAGTTTACGAATGTTATCCTTGGGTATTGTTAGTCATCATCTTTTCTCTCCTTATAACTTCCTTACTGTCTTCTTCTTACAGGTAAATTAATTAATTAATTAATTAATTAATTAATTAATTAATTAATTAATTAATTTATTAATTAATTAATTAAGTAATTATATTAATTAATTAATAACTAGTTTGTTTGTTTGTTGTATTTATTTATTTTTTTGTTTATTCTCTCCTTATAACTCCCTTACTGTCTTCTTCTTACAGGTAATTATATTTATTTATTTATTTATTTATTTATTTATTTATTTATTTATTTATTTATTTATTTATATTTAATTAATTAGTTATTTATTTATAATTAATAAATTAATCTTTTTATTGATATAATATACATCTAAGACTGAATAGGGATTAATGCAGCACAACAGCAGCAGCAGCTGCTGCTGCTGCTGCTGTTCCTGTTGCTGCTCCTGCTGCTGCCTTGTCTCCAACTGCATCTGCTGCTGTTGCTGCTGCTGCTGCTGCTGCTGCTGCATGCAGACATTTTATGTGGTATTATACCTGAGCTCATCATCATCTTTTCTTCCTGCCTTCCTTAAGGGTTTATTTGCTGCTGCTGTCTCTCCTCTTCCTGCTCTTCTTGCTGCTGATGAAAGCATGTAAGCAGCAGCAGCAACAGCAGCAGCAACAGCAGCAGCAGCAACAGCAGCAGCAACAGCAGCAATAGATGGGGTACCAGGGGTATAAATAATAATAATAATATTATATATAGGTTATATTGTTGTTGTGTATATTTATTACTATTTATATTTTTTTTCTTTATAATAAGATATATAAATAAATAAATAAATAAATAAATAAATAAATAAATAAATAAATAAATAAATAAATAAAATAATAAATAATAAAAAAGAATAATACAAATATATAATAATACGTAATAATAATAAACAATAAAAAAAAAACGTACACAAATATACAGAAAAAAAAACGTAAAAAATACGTAAAAAATATATATGGTATATAAAGGTTATATTGTTGTTGTGTATATACTATTTTAGTGTACGAATAAGACATAATTGTGTATGATTTGTTATATATATATAATTGTATGTATTTCTTCTTCTTTTCTTTTTTTTTTTCTTGTCCTTTTTCTTCTTTTTTTCTTGTATACAGGGTAAGAAGAAGACGTGTTTGTTTATTACTTTTATCTCTTCGTTTATTTGAGTTTTGTTTTATCCTTTCTCTTGGTGCTGTTGCCTTCGCACCGGATAAAGTACCAGCACTTAGTACTGCTACGTAAGTCTATTTATTTATTTATTTATTTTATTTATTTATTTATATTTATTTATATTTATTTATTTATATTTATTTATTTATTTTATTTATTTATTTATACGTAGGTAGGTAGCTAGCTAGATAACTAGCTAGATTGGGTGGTGGTGGGATGTGTATAGCTGGTTGGTTGGTTAACTGGGTAACTGGCTAGCTTGTTGGTTAGCTAGCTAGCTAGATAGATAGATAGCTAGCTAGCTAGCTACATAGCTAGATACATACAGTGTAGGGTAGCTGCACGTGTCCTTAGCTATATATCTATATAGCTAGCTAGGTAGGTATAGATAGCTAGATATAGCTAGCTAGCTAGCTATCTATATATATATATTGGTGTGGTTAGGGTTAATGTTTGTCTTGCTGCTGCAGGAATGTCGGCCTGGTGTTGCTGCTGCTGAATATGATGGTGCTGCTGCTGCTGCTGCAGCTGCAGCGGGACTATCTTGATCTCGTTGCAACATGGCAGCAGCAGCAGCAGCAGCGCACCCGAAGGGCACACATAGGGATCCGTTTGCTGCAGCTGCAGCGGTCATGGAATGCCAGCAGCAGCAGCAACAACAGCAGCAGCAACAGCAGCAACTCGGATTCTACAGCAACAGGAGACCGCCATCTTGCTGTTGTTGCTGCTGTTGGGCCCGCATAGGCAGCACAGTGGTAATTCGCTTACCAGCAGCAGCATCTGCTGCAGCAACAGGAGAAGCAGTAGCAGCAGAAGTAGAAGCAGCACCAGCAGCCGTATCTGCTGCTGCTGCTGCTGCTGCTGCAGAGAAAATTGGTTATTGATTATGATGCCTCTCCCCTTGAGGTTACTTTCTTTCTGTACGTTTGCAGCATCCAGCTAGCTGCAACACTTAGCTAGCTAGCTGGCTAGCTGCAGCAGCAGCAGCAGCAGCAGAGGAGACTACTTAGCCTAGCTAGCTACAACACTAGACTAGCTAGCAGCAGCACAGTCGCCTACCTAGCTAGCTAGCTGCGGACTCCACTGCCTCTGACCAGTTGGCTAGCTAGCTGACCAGTTGGCTAGCTGGTTATCTATCGAGCTAGCTAGCTAACTAACTGGCTAGATAGATAGATAGCTAGCTAGCTAGCTAGCTAGCTAGCTAGCTAGCAGGAGGACTTCCCCTAAGGGAGTAGCGAGTAGTAGCATCTGCCTATATGCACGGCGGTAGGATAGAAGTGACGGGTAGCTAGCTAGCTAGCTAGCTAATTAGCTAGCTAGCTAGCTGACTAGCTAGCTAGCTAGCTAGCTAGCTAGAGGGCAGCTAGCCAAACAGATACTTGCTCTGCTGAGGTTCAGATGGACGCGACACATACACATACAACATATTGCATATGCTGCTGCTGCTGTCGCCCCCTTCCTGCAGCAGCAGCAACTGCAGCAGCAGCAACTGTAGCAATTGCAGTAGCAGCAACTGCAGCAGCAGCAGCAACAGCAGCAGCTAGCGTCGTTTTCGCTTGGGGGGCGGCAGCCTTCTGTGCCATTGCTGCCCCCCTGGGGTCCATGTAAGTGTGGGGCCCCACTGCTGCTGCTGCTGCTGTTCTTGCTGCTGCTGCAGCTGCTGCAGCGGGATGTTGCAGTGCTCTGGTCCGTCAGCTATTGCATCAGCAGACTCAGCAGCAGCAGAAGCCCCTGTGGCAAGTCGTGTAGAAGCAGCAGTAGCAGCAGCTGCTGCTGCTGCTGCTGCTGCTGCTTGCCTGCTGCCTCTAGGTCTCCATACCTGCTGCACCACCGCATCAGCAGCAGCAAGACGTCGTCTAGCAGCAGCAGCAGCGCAGCAGGAAGCAATAACACGAGATACATTAGTATCTAGTCGTGAACATATGCTTGGGACCCTGCTGCTGCTGCTGCTGCTGCTGCTGCTGCTGCTGTCACTCCCTGGCGATACTCCTTGCCTCCTTGTGTAGTTGTGATTGGCTTCCCCTTCGCTATCACTGCTGCTGTCACTATCACTACTACTACTACTGCTGCTGCTGTTGCTGCTGCTGCTGCTGCTGTTGCTGCTGCTGCTGCTGCTGCGCAGCAGCAACGGCCTCGGTCTGCTGCTGCAGGTTCGTTCAACTCTTTTGATGAATTCTGTCCAAGGAGAAAGAAGAGATTCACCACCCTCAGGACTGTACACACAACAAATACACATATATACATAGCTAGCTAGCTAGCTATATGGCTAGCTAGCTATATGGCTAGCTAGATAGGTGGCTAGCTAGATACATGGTTAGTTATGTTGTTCGCTAGCTAGGTACCTAGCTAGCTACGTAGCTAGATGGCTACATACGTGATTAGCTAGGTGGCGAACTAGCTAACTAGCAAGATGAATAACTAGGTGGCTAGCTAGCTAGCTAGCTAGCTAGCTAGGGCAGCAGCAGAGTAGCTAGCTAGCTAGCTAGCTAGCTAGCTAATAGACTAACCAATAGATGAAGAGGCCGCGGTGTGTCTTGACGTCATCCGACCATCCACGTAAAATGCTGCTGCGGTTCTGCTGCTGCTGCTGCTGCTGCTGCTGTTGTTGCTGCTGTTGCTGCAACTGTTGCTGCTGCTGCTGCCCTGCGGCTGCCGCTACACTGCTGCTCCCTATACCAACACCTATACTGACACTGTTACTGCTTGGACAGCCGTTCGTTGCTGCTGCTGCTGCTGCTGCTGTTGTTGTTGTTGCTGCTGCTGCTGCTTTTTCGTCTGCAGCAGCAGCTCCGTCAGTCTGTGTATTCTGCTGCTGCCCTGCTGCTGCTGCATCTGCGGCGGCGGCGGCAGCAGCAGCATCAGCATTAGCAGCAACATCAGCTGCTGCTGCTTCTGCTGCTGCTGTTGCAGTTGCTGCTGCTACTGCTGCTGCTCCTGCCCTGCAGCAAAAGGGTGGTGCAAGTCCCCATGCCTTATGTGCTTGTCTTAGTTGCTGCTGATGCTGCAGCACGAGTGCATATCTGCTGTTGGTGATTTGCTGCAGCAAGGAGACAAGATAAGCAGCAGCAAGAGGAGGAGGCAGCAGCAGCTCCTTACTTAGCTGCTGCACCTGCGCATACACTGCAGCATCAGCAGCATCTAGGTACCATAGCAATGTGTCTCTTATCTCCCATCCGCTGCTGCTGTCTCTTGCCTTTATTATTAATACTTTCTTTAGCTGCTGCTGCAGCAAACTCACGAAGGAGGCACTCTCCTCCTGCTGCTGCTGCTGCTCCTGTTGCTGCTGCTGTTGCTGCTGCTGCTGTTGCTGCTGCTGCTGTTGCTGCTGCTGTTGCTGCGATTGCTGCTCATCTTGCGATTGTTGCGGTAAAAAATCCAACTTCTTAGGATCTAAAGAAGCAGCAGCAGCAGCATCCGATTCACTAGTGCTGCTGCTGCTGCTGCTGCTGCTGCTGCTGCTGCTGCTGTCATGTGTGCCGTTCTGGCTATGGTTGTAGCTGCTGCTGTCGCTGCTACAACTACTACTACTGCTACTACTACTACTACTACTGCTGCTGCCGTCTGCTGCAGCTGCTGCTGCAGCACAATGTTGCTGTGCATGCTTTGGCTGCAACGCCAGCCGCTGCTGCTGCTTCTTTGCTTGCTGCAGCAGCTGCAGCAGCAAAGTAAAATCAGCTTCCCGCTGCTGCGCTGCAGCAAGCTGCTGCCGCAGATTCTTCAGCAGCAAATCCATCACATTGATGGTATAGGGCATGTCGCCAACTGCTGCAGGTGCTCCTGCTACTGCTGCTGCTGCTGCAGCAGCAGCTGCTGCTGCTGCAGCTGCTGCAGATGCAGCAGCAGTTGCTGTACTAGAACTGCTGCTGCTGGACTGGTTAGATCGTGTCGCGGGGCGATGCGCTTGCGCCAGCATCTGCGACTGTTGTTGCTGCTGCTGCAGTTGCTGCTGCTGCTGCTGCTGCTGCTGCTGCTGCTGCTGCTGCTGCTGCAGTATACTGATATGTATAGTGTATGGTATATTATTATCTGTTAGCCAAGAAGACACAAGACCCTTAAGAGCAACACCAACATCACACATATCCCATACTACTGCTTCTGCTGCTGGCAGCAAACTGCTGCTGCTGCTGCTGCTGCTGCTGTTGCAGTTATTAACGCCTCCTCCATCTCCCTCCAGAGATGCTGCAGCTGCTGCTGCTGCTGCTGCTGCTGCTGTCTTCCCCACACCATGAGTTGCTTCGTTTCGGTGCGCAGTCTTTGCAGTGCACCCTCCTGGAGCAGCAGCAACATCAGCAGCAGCACCACTTGCTGCTGCTGCTGCTGCTGCTGCTGCTGCTGCTAGATGTTGCTGCAAGGCTTCTGCTGCTGCAGTGCCACAAGCAGCTTTTATATCTAAAAACAAAACACATAGACGGCGATGCTGCGGCAGCAAATGGACAGCAGCAGGCAGCAGCACGGGGTCCTCTAAGCTTCGCCAATCTGCTGCTGCTGCTGCTGCTGCTGTTGCTGCTGTTCTATGCTGCTGATGATGATAATCAAGCTGCTGCTGCTGGTGCTTACGCCAACGCAGCAGCCGCCGCTGCTGCTGCTGCTGCGATCGCTGAGACAGCAGCCTGTAATTAGGTGTGGGGTTTTGTCTCTTACGCCGCAGCAGCAGCAGCAGCGGCAGCTGCTGCTGCTCTCCGTGCTGCCAGCCAGCAGCAGGAGGACCTTGCTGCGGAGGCAGAGGGACTACAGCAGGTTCAGGCAGAGATACACCATCATCTGCTGCTGTTGCTTCTGCTGCTGCTTCTGCTGCAGCAGCAGCAGCTGCTGCTGCTGCACTAAACTGAGACACATCATACGAGCTATCTATAAGGCGTAATGGCGATTCTGCTGCTGCTGCTGTTGCTGCTGCTGCTGCTGGCGATGTAGAGGAAGTTTCCTTCGATGCTTCCTCCTCAGGCAGCAGATGCTGCAGCAGCTGCTCTTGCTGCTGCAGCAGCAGCTGCAGCTGGTGCTGCTTCTCTGCAGCAGGAAAAGTATAGCGCAGCAGCTGCAGCAGCGCGGGTACACCAGGAAGTTCATTAGGAGCAGCAAATAGCTGCGCCACCTGCGATGCTGTAGGAGCAGCAGCAGCAGCAGAAGCAGCAGCAGCAACAGGGGGTGTAGCAGCAGCAGGTTGTTGCTGTTGTGCTAACCGTACTGCTTGCCATGTCTTGTCGCTAGCAAGCTGCTGCTGCTGCTGCTGTTGTGGCTGCTGTTGCTGCTGCTGCTGCTGCGGCTGCTGCTGCGGAGAAGATATGTCAGCAGCACCCACCCTGCTTGGTCCACTAGGGCAGCTTCCTTGCTGCGTGCTGCTGCTGCTGCTGCTGCTGCTGCTCGGTACAGATGCAAGGCCGCTAAGGTCAGGGGTCCGGACGGTCTGCGGCAACTTGCCTGCTGCTGCTGCTGCTGCTGCTGCTGCGTTAGCTGCTGCAGTCTCCTTAAACCTTCCTGCTGCAGCAGCAACTCCCGATAGAAGTGTCTGCGCTAGCGAGCGGACCTGCAGCAGCTGCTGCAGATGTTGCTGCAGCAGCAGCAACTGCTGCTGCTGCTGCTGTTCTTCCCTCAATGTATCACCACTCCTTTGCTGCCCCAGCAGCCACAGTTGCTGCTGTTGCTGTTGTTGCTGCTGCTGCACTGCAGCAGCAGCCAAATCGATCTCCTCTAGCAGCTGCTGCAGCAGCAAGGCCTTGGAGGGCGACACAATCGGCAGCTTAATGCTGCTTGCGGCCGCGCCTGCTGCTCCTGCTGCTGCATGCGCTGCTGCTGCTGCTGCTGCAGCAGCAGCAGCAACTGCTGCTGCACCAACAATATTATCCAAAGCTTGTCCTGCCTCCGTAACTGCTGCTGCTGCTACTGTGTAATTAGGAATCCATCGAGGCCTAAACTCTGCTGCTGCTGCTGCTGGAGTTGCTGCTGCTGCTGCTGCTGCTGCTGCATGGTGCGCAGCAGCAACAGGACCCAAGCCAGCAGCTGCTGCAGGGGAAGCAACATAACGGGCTCGTGACAAAGATGATGCAGCTGCCTGCTGCTGCTGCTGCAACAGCTGCTGCTGATGTTGCTGCTGCTGCTGCTGCTCAGGCATGCCGTTGCTTCGGAGGCGTAGTGCTGGCGACTGCTGCGCTGCTGCTGCCGGCTTTGCTGCTGCTGCTGCTACTGTTGCTGCAGTCAGCGGGGAAGCAGCAGCACCTGGCTGCAGCTGGCTTTGCCGCCGCTGCTGCAGTTGTTGCTGCTCCTGGTGCTGCTGCTGCAGTTGCAGCTGCTCCTGGTGCTGTTGCAGTGGGTGCTGCTGCTGCTGCTGCTGTATATGCTGCTGAGGAAGTTGCATCGGCCGGTGTTGCAGCAGTGGCATCTGCTGCTGCTGCAGCTGCTGCTGCATCTGCTGCTGCTGCGCATTCTGATGAGTATGGGTCGGAGGTACAATCTGCTGCTGCATGTAATGTTGCTGCTGCAGCTGCTGCAGCTGCTGCTGCTGCTGTAGGGGTTGCTGCTGCAGCTGTTGTTGCTGGAGTAAAGGCTGCTGCTGCAGCTGTTGTTGCTGCAGTAGAGGCTGCGGCACGTGTGGCTGCTGCAGCAGCAGCTGTTGCTGCTGCTGCTGCTGCTGCTGCAAGTGTTTCCCCTGCATGCTGCTGCTGCTGTTTCCGTGTCAGCGGTATGGGTGGCTGCAGCAGCAGCAGCACTCCCCTGGCTGCTGCTGCAACCCCCGCTGCAGCTACTGCTGCTGTTGCTGCTTCATTGGGTAGTTAAGAATGGCACTTCCGTGGGGATGGATAACAGCAGCAGCAGCAGCAGCAACAGCAGCAGAAACAGGTTCGTGCTGCTACAGCATACTTGTTGCGGCAGTAGCTGCTGCTGCTGCTGCTGCTGCTACTGGCTTTGTTGCAGCAGCTGCAGCAACTGTTCAGTGTACATACACCTCAAAGTGAGGTCGTCGTTCGTGGGGCCGCTCGCTCTCTACCCTGCTGCTGCTGTTGCTGCAGTTGCTGCTGCAGTTGCTGCAGTTGCTGCTGCTGCCGCTGCTGTCACTACAGTGTCTAGAGTGTTGTATGGTGTTGTTGCTGCTGCTAAGGCCAGGGAAGGCCTTTTGCTGCTGCTGCTGCTGCTTATTATGGGCGCTCACTCCCAGGTACTGGCGCATGCAGCAGCGCAGCAGAGCGTTTGCTGCTGCTGCTGCTGCTGCTGCTGCTGCTGCTCCGAATATGGGGAGCTCGCAGTCGCCGTTGCTGCTGCTTGTCAGGGTAACAAGCAAAAAAAAATCTAAACAGCAAAAGAAGAGGGAGTTAATTATTTCATCATTTGCTGCAGCAGCAGCAGCAGCAGCAGCAGCAGCCCCAGCAGCAGCCCTGCAGCACGAGGCAGCAGCAGCAGCAGCAAGGACTTACAATATTTCCTTAGAGAGTCGCCGCCGCCGCCACAGCAGCAGCAGCAGCAGCAACAGCAGCAACAGCAGCAGCAACAACAATAATTCCTTAATAAGACACATTAATAATTATTATTTTTATTATTTATTTTATTTTTATTTATTTATTTTTTTATTTTGCTGCTTCCTTCGGGTGTATAGGCAGCTCCTGCTGCTGCTTCTTCTTGTGTACTTTTGCTGTTATTTATCCTTTTTAATTCCTTTTTTATTTTATTTTATTTATTTATATTTATTTATTTATATTTATTTATTTATATTTATTTATTCATTTATATTTATTTATTCATAAATAAATAAATAATTACCCTTAAGGAAGGTAACAACAACGATACACCGCAGCACCACACACCTGCCTATACACCCGAGAGATCCTCTGTATACTACAGCTAGCCACAGCTAGCTACAGCTAGCCACAGCTAGCTACAGCTAGCTACAGCTAGCCATAAATATATACAGCTAGCCATAGCCAACTACAGCTAGCTGCAACGAGCAGTAGCTAGCTACAGCTAGCTACAGCTAGCTGTATACTAAGGCTAATTGGTGTGTATGGTGATAAGACACCACAAAATAAATAAATAAATAAAAAAATAAATAAATAAATAAATAAATAAATAAATAAATAAATAAATATATAAATAATATGTTAATTAAATAATTTAATATTTATTTATTTATTTATGGATAAATAAATAAATAAATAAATAAATAAATAATAATTAAATAAGAAGACAAAGACACAATAAATAAATATTTTATATTTATATAAAGACACAAATAAATAAATAAATAAATAAATAAATAAATAAATAAATAAATAAATAAATAAATAAGAGACAAAGACACAATAAATAAAAAAAAAAAGAGACAAAGACACAGAAAAAAAAAAATAAAATAAAAGACAAAGACACGAGTTAATTAAATAAAAGAAAAAGACACAATAAATAAAATAATAAACAGACAAAGACAAGAAAAAGAAGAAAAAAAAAAAGAAAATAAATAAAAAATAAATAAAAAAGGACAATAAAGGGAAAAGACAAAAAAGAAAACAAGAAAATATAAATAAAAAAAAAATAAAAGCAGCAGCAGCAGAGGCAGCAGCAGAAGCAGCAGCAGCAGCAGCAGCAGCAACGAAAGAAGTAAAACAAGCTGATTAAACAATTAGGGTGTATAGGCAATTCGCCTATAAAGTTGTAGAGAAAAAACGGAAGCCAAATCTGCTGCTGCTGCTGCTGCTGCTGCAGTTTGCTGCAGCAGCAGCAGCAGCAGCGGCAACGACCGGTGCAGCAGAGCTGCAGCACCAGAAGTAGCAACAGCAGCAACTGTTGTGTTTGCTGCTGCTGTCTTCCTTCTTTCTCTGTTACAATTGCTGCAGCTACTGCCGCAAAACTTGCTTCGGTGCTGCTGCTGCGGCTTGTGCTGCTGTTGCGTGTGCTGCTGCTGCTGCTGCTGCTGCTGCTGCTGCTGGTACTGCAGCAGCAGCAGCAGCAGCAGCAGCAGCTGCGGTAGCTGCAATGCTCCCAAGGCACTACAGCTACGCCTTTTCGGCTGCTATTGGCAGCACACAGAAACAGCAGCACCAACAGCAGCACCTGCTGCTGTTGCTGTTGCTGCTGCTGCTGCTGCTGCTGCTGCAACTATGCGGATTCTCCCTTGCTGCGCCCCACCTCTGCTGTAACTCTTACGAAGGCGCACTGCAGCAAATCAGCAAAAGAAGTCCTCATGCTGCTGCAGTCTGCAGCAATTGCATGCGCAACTGCTGCTGCTCCCGGATCTTCCTGCTGCTGCTGCTGCTGTTGTTGCTGCTGCCGCACCAACCGTCTGTGCTGCAGCTGCTGCACCCGCTGCAGCAACTGCAGCACACGACGCTTAGATGCTTCGGGTGTATAGGCAGCTACATTAGGGGGGACTCTAAGAGGCCTAGAGGAGAAGCCTTGTGGCACCAAATCGTGCAGCAGCTCAAATTGCTGCTGCTGCTGCTGCTGCTCCCTCTCCCTTGTCTTCCTGCTGCTGCTGCGGCGCGAAGGTGCACGAGGAGACAACTTAGGCTCAGCAGCAAAACGGACTCTATGATTCTCTTTCCCTTCTGTTGCATCAGTCTTTGCTGTTTGTTGCTGCTGCTGCTGTTGCTGCTGCTGCTGTTGTTGCTGCTGCTGATCTGCAGCAGCAGCATTAGGAAGAGAATCATCATTCCCAAAGAGTTGCTGCAGTGCATGCAGCTCGCGCTGTACATCCACCTGAGCTGCAGCAGCATCTCCTGCTGCAGCAGCAGCAGCAGCAGCAGAATGACTATTAGAGTATAGATCGCTGCGTGAGTGTGAATCTGTTGCAGTGCCGTTGTTGCTGGTATTGCTGCTGCTGCTGCTGCTGCTGCTGGTGCTGCTGCTGCTTGTATCAGAGTCATCTGCACTAGTATTACTATGACTACCATGACGACTACTATTGCTGCTGCTTCTGCTGCTGCTGTTGCTGTTGCTGCTGCTGCTGCTGCTGTTATCACTACCCGTACTAGAACTAGTATGATCTCTAACAGGAGGTCTTCTTCTTTTGCTGCTATGTTGCTGCTGCAGTTTCCTGCGTCTCTGCTGCTGCTGCTGCAGTTCGAGTTGATGTTGCTGCTGCTGCAGCAGCAGCAAATCTTCTTGTACACTTTCCAACCCTTTATGTGTTTTTTTATAAATATTAATAAAAGAAGAAGAAGAAGAGGAAGAAAAAGAAGAAGAAGAGGAAGAACAACAAGAAGAAGAAGAAGAAGAAGAAGAAGGAGGAAGAAATTCATTAGTTATTATTACTGCCCTCCTAAAGAATTTATCTCTTTTTTCTTTTCTTTCTTTTCTTACTGCAGCAGGAGCAAGTGTATCTGCATCTGCAGCTAATAAAGAATTAATAGACATTATACCTAATAATACTTTGTGTCTTAATTCTTTATTACCTTCTCTCCTTAGATTAACTAATAATTCATATAATCGTTGCTGTCTTAATCTAGCTGGGGCTGCACCGTATACATTCATGAATTGTGCATGCAGAGCAGCAGCAAATGCAGCAGCAGATGGATATTTCAATTTTGTACGCACTAATTCTACACCACTATTCTTATTTTCTTTCTTTTCTTCTTCTTCTTTTTCTTTTTTTCCCTCATCCTGCTGCTGCTGCTGCTGCTGCTGCTGCTGCTGCTTATCCTGCTCCTGCTGATTCAAATGATGGGTCTCATGATGGGTAGCTGATCCTGTTGTTGTTGTTGCTTGTCCTGCTGCTCCTGCTGCTGCTGCTGCTGTTGCTGTTCCTGCTGCTGCTGTTGGAGATTGGGATGCTGATGCCACTCCATCCTGTCCTCCTGTACCACTCGTGTTGCTGCTGCTGCTGCTGCTGTTGCTGTTAGGTGATAAACCGTTATCCTTTGCTGCTGCTGCTACTGCTGCTGCTGCTGCTTTTGCTACTTCTGCTGCTGCATCTGCTTCCTGCTGCAGCTGCAGCGTAGGCTGCAACTCACTAAGACCTAAATAATATATTTCCTCTATTTTCTTTAATCGTCGCGAAGTCCCTTGCTGCCAGTCCCGCTGCCGCACAAGGGACCCCAGCAGCATCTGCTGCTGCTGCTGTTGTTGCTGCTGCTGCTGTTGTTGCTGCTGCTTTTGTTGAGGGTGTTTACGCCTCCTATGACTAGCACCAGCACCAGCAGCTGCAGCTGCTGCTGCACGACCGGATGCTACAGCTGCTGCTGCAGCACGAGCAGCAGCACTCTGTGGCTGCCCTCCTGCTGCAGCAGGAGAACCTGTTGCTGCTGCTCCTTTTGCTGCATCTTCAGGAGAAACAGCAGCACGTTTAAGTGAGCTGCTGCTGCTTGATTTGCTTGTTGCTGTCTTCAAGCTGCTGCTGCTGCTGCTGCGACCTGAGCTCCCACCAGCAGCACCTCCAACCCCTCCTCCTCCTCCTCCTCCTCCTGCAGCAGCAGCAGCAGCAGCAGCAGCAGCAGCAGCTCTCCTTTTTGCTGCCTCTTTTTCCTTTAATTCTAATTCCTCCCTATCTATGTCTTGTAGATTTAAATATTCTTCTCTTAGTTCCTCTAGATCGAACTCTGGATCGCTACCATGGTTGCTGCTGCTGCTGCTGCTGCTGCTGCTGCTGCTGCCGTTGCTGCTGCTGTAACTATACTCGCTACCACTTGCACCAACAGAAGCATCATCATCGTCTTGCTGTACACCATGACGCCGAGAACGCTTCTGCTGCTGCTGTTGCTGCTGCTGATGCTGATGCTGTTGCTGCTGCTGCTGCTGCCTTCGTCTACGATGGGAACTTGTATCTCCTGCTGCTGCTGTTGCTGCTGCTGTTTTGCTGCGGCCTTTGCCAGCTGTTGCTGATCTTGCTGCTGCAGCTCTAGGACTACCTCCACTAGCTGCTGTTGCTGCAGCTGCAGCAGCAGCAGCAGCCTTAGCTGCTTCCCTTCTTTTTTGTCTTCTTATGCAGCGCCAGCAGCAAATAGATATATCTTTTTGTGCAGGGAAAAGTTTATAAAGAAAAGGTAATTCATCAGGAGAAAGAATCTCTATTGCTGTTTCCTTTTCTGTCTGTTGCTGTTGCTGCTGCTGTTGCTGTTGCTGCTGCTGCTGCTGCTGCTGTTGCGGTTGTTGCTGCTTCTGTTGCATCTCATCTAGTTCCCTCTGTAGTAACTCATATATAGCTCGTAAGCCGCCCTTTCTGCCCCCCGTGCTGCTGTTGCTGCTGCTGCTGCTGCTGCTGCTAGTATTAGCGAGTTGCTGCTGCAGGAATTGTTGCAGCAGCAGCTGCTGCTGCGGTCCTGGTCTCCAATTAGGTGGTTGTATATCATCAGGAGGTCCTAGTGTCTGTCTGCAGCAGCAGCAGCAAAAGAGACGACAATCAGGATTTCTTGCTGCACTATGTTTACGGAAGCAACTAGGTGGTGCTGCTCCTCCTTCTCCTTCCCCCAGCTGCTGCTGCTGCTGCTGCTGCTGCTGCTGCTGCTGCTTAATTCTCTTGAATCTTATACAATCAGCAGGTATTTGTGGATCAAATCCAACATCAACATCAAATGCATGTCTATAAAAAAGTACATTAGGTATATCTCCTTCTTCCTCCCTATTGCTGCTGCTGCTGCTGCTGCTGCTGCTGCTGCTATTAGTACTATTAGTACTATTAGTACTATTAGTACTATTAGTACTAGGGAAAGAAGATATATTTAACCATTGTTGTATATTATATATAATTAATTTCCCCTTAATAGATGCAACAGGATTAAGATCTATAAAATTAAGTGCAGGAATTATCTCATAAAAAGAATAAACATTTATAGGTAATTCTTTACAGCATTCATTACGTAAATCTATTGGATCCCATGCCCATCTACATACTATTCTTCCTCCTCCTGTTCCTGCTCCTGTTGTTGTTCCTGCTCCTCCTGCTGATCCTGATTCATTAACATCATTGCATGCATCTATTGATGATCTTAATAATGATGTATTATTCATATCTTTATCTTTTATACTCAATGAATTACATCCTTCTCCTCCTGCTGCTGCTCCTGCTGCTGCTGCAGCAGCAGGAGCAGCAGCAGCAGCAGCAGCAGGAGGAGGAGGAGGAGGAGGAGGTACATAATCAAGTATTTGGGCTATCCAATCCTTATTAGATTGACTCTTAAGTCTTACCCATTCATGCTGTCTATACTCTTCCCCTAAGAAATAAAAAAGAGGAGAAGAATTATTATCTACTTCCTTAGGTAACTCGCTAGCTAATATACACCATAATTCATCATATTCTTCTTGCTGCTGCTGCTGCTGCTGCTGCTGATGCTGTTGTTGTTGTTGCTGTTGCTGATTGTCTTGCTGCTGCTCTTGATTGTCTTGTTGCTGCTGATCGTGCTGCTCCTCTTGGTGGTAATTGTGGTGGGGTTGCTGATTGTTTGTTGAGGTTGGGGATGTCACGTTGCTGCTGTTATTCGTGTTGCTCCTGCTGCTGTTGTTACTGTTGCTGTTGCTGCTGCTGCTGCTGCCACAGGATAGAAGCACCATTGCGTCACCTCCTTGCTGTCCTCCATCCTCCTCTCCATCAACATAAGGAAAAGGAGGACAACCGTCTATGCCGCTCATTTCCTCCTCCTGCTGTATAAACCATCAAACAGCAGCAACAGCAACAACAGCAGCAGACGCAGCTGCTGCTGCTCCTGCAGCAACAGCAGCGACGACTTTAATAACGCAATCGGCAATGGTAACTGCAGCAGCAACAACAACAACACACGCCCGTCTCTTGTATCCCCCTAATGCATTGATATATATGTTCCTCTTGTAGCAATCTTATTCCTTAACTGCTGCCGCAAAAATAAAGAAAAAATGTAATTCTTTGCGCAAAAACTCTGCTGTTGTTGCTGCTGCTACCGCTGCTGCTGATGATGATGCTGCTGCTGCTGCTGCGGCGGCGGCGGCGGCGGCCAGCGGCCAGCGTTGCTGCAGCAACTGCAGCACCAGTGACACGAATAATTAAGAAAACAAGAAATAAGAACAAGAAAATAAATATAAGAAAGAAAAAGCAACACAAACACGTTGCTCATCATATACTCCCCATCTGCATGCATGCACCGGCCAGTGGGGCTTTGTTGTTGTGCTGCATCATCAAGAAAATAGCTCATTTCTTCGCCAGCAGCAGCAGCAGCAACAGCAACATTAACAGCAGCAAAAGAAGAAAAAGAATAAAAGAAAGAATATTTATTTATAAATAAATATATTCATCTTTTTATTTTTTTATTAATTAAACAATTAACTCCCCAACAACACACAAACAGCAAAGGGGGAAAAAGCTAAGTGACCCAGTTGGTTAGTACGTCCATCTTATCACCAGGAGGTCCCGGGTTCGATTCCCCCTCTGTGCCAATTCTGTTAATTAATTATTATTTATAATTAAAGGGAACAAAAAAGATGACGACTTAAAGGTCTTATAGCTACTAGATATATAGGGAGGGATAGAGGATATATATTTATATATAATTAATAGATAAATAATTGTTGCTAATTAGTTGTTAATCTTTTTTTTTTCTTAAGAAATACACTATAGACAAAAGAGACACACTAATAAACTTTGTCTCCTTTGCTTAGGGGATATTATAGTCTCTCTTGCTACCCTTACGATTGCATGCAACCAATGGATCGCGTAGGTGGTGCTGCTGCTCCTACTGCCCCTTCTGCTGCAGTTGCTGCAGCAACTAGTGCAGCAGCAACGATAACACCTGCATCCTCTGTCTGTCTGTCTCTCCTAGGTGTCTCCTCCCCCTACTGACTGTCCCCTCTGTCTCCTTTCTCCCTGCTAAGTGTCTCCTCCGTCTCTTTTCTCTCCCTTAGCTGTCTACCTAACTAATTCCCCTAATTGTCTCCTTATTGTGTCTCTATAATAATCATAAAAAAAAAATAAACAAAATAAATAAATAAATTAATTAATTAAAATAAAAAAGATTAATAAAACGAATAAATGTCTCCCCTTGTTGCTACCCTTGAATAAGGCAGACGTTAATCCCTTTGTCTCCTTGTTTTTTTTTTGTCTCTTTTTCTCCCTTTTCTTTTTATCCCCTAATAAATTCTCCTCCTTCCTTTTCTCCTTTGTCTCTTTTTCTTTATATCTGTCCCTCTCCCCCTCCCTATTAGAGCTACAATGTCTCCTTTATTGTCTCCTTATTTGTCTCTTTTTCTTTATTTGTCTCTTTTCCTGCTGCTGCTGTTGCTGCTGCTGCATTCTGTATCCATAGT